AATACCCTACGTGGTTGGTTGTTCACTTGCTTTTCATGGGATGGATTTCTGGAACACTGTGCGAGGAAATGAAACATTGTACAACATGGTGTCCCAGTGGCACGTCATAATTATGCAAACATCTGCTGAACTGAGTTACCAGCCTCGGGGCAAATCAGAGATTTTTTTTTTCTTTAAATTGGGGGGCGGGAGGGAGAGAAACACATTTTTTCTTGAGTAGAGAACAAAGGTCAAAGCCAGCCAGCCACTTTTTCTTTTATTTTTTCCTTTTTATTTTAAAATGCCTCAGTTGTTTTCCATCATAGTTCCCTTGCTCTCCATGCCCCGCCCTCAAAAAAGTGACTTTGCCTACCAGCCAGTATCCAACCTCAAACCCCACCAACCATTGTGTGTATGGAGAAAAACTGAAATCCTAACGGAAAATAAACCAAAACATACATACATAAATAAATAAAAATAAGACAAACCCTGAGTATCAAATCACAAATATGCTACAAACCACTTCAATAAGAGAAAGGACAAACTATGTTCATCAGCAATTAACACAAGCTGATGAATCAGGTAATTTCTAACAATTTTGGGATATGTTTTGTTCTTTAGGAAAAAAACTATTCAATAATTTAGATTCTGATGTCTATTTTATTTTCTTACAAACAACCAAACCTGCTCCGATTCTCTAATGTGGGTTTGGTTTCATGTGATTTCTGATGCTAAAATGGCAGAACTCAACCTGCCAAAATCATTTATTGTACTCAAATGAGAGAAAAACGTAAGGCTGTTATTTAAATCCCAATTATGCACGTCTCAATCTCTGATATAGAAATCAGGGACACTTAGAGGGGGTTAAAAAAAATCTCACATACTTTAACTGGTTTTGAAATCTAAAAAGGTTTTGAGAAGAAATTGCAAATGATGATGGCCCTGTCTTATTTTATAAACACAGGTTTGTGTTCCTAGGGCATGGTATCAGCTTCAGAGTATTCCCCTAAACAAGCAGTGTTACCAGCAAGGTTCTATGGATAACAAAGAGAGCAAACAGCCATTTTTGCTATACTGCATGTTGCACACACAAGCATGAGAGATATAGGAACCACCAAATCAGAACATACGCCCATATTCATGCTTTACAAGACACACTTGATCTTTATGTGTATACGAACAATGTTAGCATTTTGCACCACGGAAGTGCTAAGAAACACTAGGCCAAACACACAGTCATAAACGCACTATTCATTCAGGCAAAACTCCCAGTGACCTGAGTGAAGAATGGATTTGCCTCATTGCTACCATATTACATAGGGACTACACAGAGAATAACGCAGATAGAATTTTGGCTGTTTACTACACGACATATTGTTCCGCTGAAAACATTCAGAATGGAAAAGAAGAATGCTCTTCTTGCTGGTAATGAAAAGGCAGACTAGTCCAATATACATTTCAAACATTCAATTTACACGAGACACGAGGTAATACCTTTTATTGGACCAACATCTGTTGGTGAGAGAGAAAAGCTTTCAAGCTACCCAGAATTCTTCTGATCTGAAGAAAAGCTCTGGGCAGCTCGAAAGCTCGTCTCTCTCACCAACAGAAGTTGGTCCGATAAAAAAGATATTACCTAACCCACCTTGCCTCTCTAATATCCTGGGACCCACACGGTTACAACTACATGACATTTTACATGTCAACAGTATTAGGATATAGATTGCACATAGTCTACAACTCTAATTATAGGGAGACTAGTAGCTCCTGTGTGAGTGTGCATGTGATGAATGAGCACATATATTAAGGGTAAGCATTCACCAAAGCTCCCAAAACGTGAAACTGCTCTGGGGGGTTTCCTTTCCTATTTTGTCTAGTTTAAGCATTCATTCCAATAGGTTTGATCTAAAAACTATATTTGCATATGTTTTCATCTATGAACTTCCATTTAAACCTGGTGCGTTTTAATCACTTTAAAAAGCAACAGAACTAAATGGAGATGAAGGATCCTCACTACTCAAAGCCAAGGAGTGACTGACAAGGAGGCTGACGTCATGGAGCACCCAGACTTTCATAAAGGGAGCTCAAGGAGGACAGAAAAGATTGCAACGCTTCGTAACTGTGGGCATGCCCGTTATGTCATTTGAGTTGCCTGTCGATTTCACGACAGATGCATCAGTCAACACCTCAGCTTGCTTTCCTAGAAAGGGTGTGGACAGAGTGCCTGGTACACAGGGAGGGTGACTTTCCTCAGCAATGAAAACAGAAGGATGCCTGTTGGTTGAAGGGGTACTACTGTCAAATATTACTGAAGAGGAAGGGGGAGGTAGAAACAGCAACAGGGCCAGATGATTAAAATACTGAGCTAGAGGAAGAAAAATTTCATTAATTCTTAATTTACCAGCAAATCTTTGCTGCTTTATCCATACCTCAATGCTCACTCAGTTCTGTAGGAGATCTGCTTCCATCTGGCTTTCCAAGTTAGGCGACAGAACTGGGTATATGTTGAAGCTAAAACCATCAGCCCATTTTCACTTACCTGATATAGATATTTCTTCTGGTGTGTCATGGGGCTTTCTGTAACACTGTAGTACAACATATACCAAACCACAATGTTTCTGAAGGTAAAGGGCCTTTATTATTGACTGAACTCAAAGCCCATGTTGTTTTAATTGAGACTCTGCCCTAAGAGCCATGGTTCTGAGAGTCTGGATTCAAGCTAAAGCAATAAGACAACCAGGCTCTTGCTGGTTAAAGGCTTTGTAAAAACATCAATTCAAGTTCATATTCGTTTGCATTTTGATAATACAATAATTGCATTTATCAGAAACACATGGTGAGCGGATCATTTCGGAGCATTTTTCTCATTGTCTGGTACTGCCGAACACATCTGGGTTATATTTGCCCCATGTAAGTTAATAATGTTATGGGCTTTTAAAAAAAAATTAGCAAGATAATCCTAAAAACAACTCTTTCCAAAATAAAGCGGGGGTGGGGAACCTTCAAGTTTCATCCAAAATTATTTAAGTGTAAAAATTACTTTACCAGGATAGCTACACGACAGCATTAACTATTGGTGGCATAGGAAGAAAAAGCAAAATATCACTGAGACTATACACAGTTAAGCACAACACACTAGTGAAACTTAAGCGGTTTGGCCCCCACCCCAAGCCCATCTCAAACAACAGCATTAAAAATGCGAATGCGTTGGCACTAGAAGAACTCAAAACCTCTTCTTGTTGTTGTTTTTTGTCACTCTTAACTTTGGAGAATTGGAAACTTTAAAGCTTTTGGATGAAGCACAGGGGATACTGACACCCTCCAGATTTTCACTGTAGTGGACCAACCCACATACAGTATGGTGTAAAAGGATAGCAGATGGCTTTTCTTCTGTTCGCTCTGCTTCCCAAATATTAAGCTGAATGCGTGCTCTCACATCCATGCATATTCAGCTCCCACAATAATGAGACAAGGCTTTAAAAAATAACAAACCTCTTGTTCTCAGACTGTATCTAACCCAGTCCAGAGCATATCTGTACTCTTCTTCATCAGAGGTAAAAAATAAGTGTCCAGTCACAAAGGATGGCACTTCCGCTAGACTATGGAAAGATACTCAAGTTTTAGCCTTTATATAAGATAATTCTTAAGATGTTGCAGAGATTCCTTCCCGCCCTCCCCCCCCACCCCGCCACCAAATATGCATGATACATAATGGGGTAGGGAGAGGCTAAAGGAATGAAACAGCTTTTGCTGTTTCTTCTCATCTTAAAGCAATTTGGATTTTGCTACAGTAATGGGAACTACCACCAACCTTCTTCAACTGATAATACTCTCTTCATACCTTTCTATTGGCAGAAGCGTTAAGGCTTTAGGCTGAAGTCCGACTTAAATCCAGCAGGACATGGCAAGCCTCCAAATGCTAAGCAATTTTTGTGCTTGCATTTTACCCTTTACATGTGAGGTCATTTATTATCCAGTTTAGTCTAGTATCTTTCTATGTAGGATCACAGACCCTACACTAAGTAACTAATTTCTCCATGTACTAATGAAAGAACATTGCACTCTGGGAATCTGGACAGAAATACTTTAAAGTTTCTTCATCATGGACTGTGTACAGTTTTCTTTTCCCCTGTGTTTGATGAAAAGATGGGAGCAGCTTCTGATTACACTATTAACTATACACAGCACTCGCTGTGGGAAAAGTCTAATTGCATTTTACCCACCTGTTTTCAGAAATATGTAATGATCTATTTCCTCTACAGATATTAGAAAGGCAGAAATACACCCTGCTTGGGGAATATACCGTAAATTACACTGAAAAGAGGAGTAACCACGTTCAATATAAAAATACCGGAGAAAGATAAACTGTCCACTGGATTCAATGGTGATAGAATAAGTCTTAACAGTAAACAAAATAAAAATCACACTTTCTGTGATAATAGATAAGATTGATTGATCAATCTTGGGCCTCATTCTCTTCTCATATTAATGTAAAATTAGCATAATTCTACTGGAGTCAAAGGAATGTCACCAGTGTCTTGCTAAAACGTATACTCTAGTTTAACCACTAGTTATGGGTCTGTGTAGAAATCACTGCTTGACATTCAGTTGCTTATATGCTGCAGGGGGGTCAGAGTAGAAATAGATCATCATAATGGGTCCATCTGGGTTTAGAATCTGTGAATCTATAAAAAACATTGGAATCAAGACCCTTGAATCTCATATCACAACTATGTAAACTGAGGCATAGGATTGGTGTTTCATACTGCTTGTTACTATCAGACAAATTAAATATAGTGGTAATTTATATGTTAATTAACCTGACAAGGTCAATTCATAAAACCATTGTCCAGCAGGTCTGGAATTCAAGCTATAATTGATTACCTACAATAGGAATAGAAGATGATCAGGCAGACTAAGGTTGGTTATTTATGCTTGTTTCAATATAATAAAGAGCTCTCTTTTCAGGAGTAATGCTAAGCTGTTCAGAGGCACATGTGTTGAAGTTGAGATACACTTACAAAGTAGCCTGTTCCCAAGCTGGAAGGAGCTGAGCTCTGCAATAAAACACAAAGACAAAATGGAAAGTCAGTGATGGTTTTTAACACGTTCCAATCCACATAGCTCATTACCAGCCCTTTCCAAGTTTTTCATCACTACATCACAGCATCAATGTGCTGCCCCTTGTCATCTGCTACTGAAACAAACATGGTGATGCTTAATTTTTCCCTTTACATCTCTCAACGACTCTGAGATGGTAACGTGCTATTTACTGAATTCCAAGCTTCCGCGGTGGACGTAATTGCCAATGCTCTCACATCCATGCATATTCAGCTCCCACAATAATGAGACAAGGCTTTAAAAAATACAAACCTCTTGTTCTCAGACTGTATCTAACCCAGTCCAGAGCATATCTGTACTCTTCTTCATCAGAGGTAAAAAATAAGTGTCCAGTCACAAAGGAT